GCCATCTTCTCTTGATGTTTCCTGCATCATTCAATATTTTTCCCCTAGAATCTCTCAATATTGCAACTCGAGGCTTAAATTTTTTCTTCAGGTATACTCTAGAGTATACTCTAGAGATCTAATAACAGTGACACAAATAGACATAAGCACACGTATGCTCATTGCAGCATTATTCACAATAGTAAAAAGATGGTAACAACCTAAGTGCCCCTCCATGAATGAATGAATAAACAAAATGTGGTTCTTACATAAAATGAAATGGTATACAGCTATAAAGAATACTGATGAGTTCTCAAACTGTGGATGAATCAGGAAAACTTTATGGTAAGTGACATAACTCAATCATAAAAGGGAAATACTATATAATTACACATACAAAAGAAGAGCAGATATACATATAGAAATCAACATTCATTGGTGCTGATCAAGGATGGAAACAGAAAAGAGAAAGAATCACTCTCCAGATAGAAGACATTTATTATATTTGGTGATGGGAAAGGCAATACTGAATACTGAACGTGGTTGATGTACAACTTGACCAAGGTAAATGATGACACTAAGAAGTATATAACAATAAGGAACATTTTTGGTAAATGCTATAATATATACAATTTTGCAACAATAGCAATAATAACCCCAAAAATATATATGTGTGTGGTTCAAACCCACCAGCTACTCCTCGGAAGGAAGGTTGGGCAATCCACTTCCTTAGTGATACCACCTCGGAAACCCAAGGAGGGGTCGCTATGAGTCGGATCTGACTCAACAGCAGTGCACTCTGCTGCGTTGCGCTGGGACAACAATTTTAAAGAGGTAATATATGTGAGTGAAGTAAGTCTGGTTTAAAAAACCAATAGCTTCAATGTAGAAATTGAAAACAATGAATCTTCGACTTTTACATAATGTGGCCAACTTTTTATAGAGCCAATCTCAGACCAAAAAAAAAAGTGATATAATATATAATACATAATTATATGTGTTATTAAACATAAAAATAAGAAAAATGGATATTTTTGAGATTATATGTTATTCTGCATTGTGTAATTTTCTATTACATACGTACTTTTAAATGAACAACAACAGAACTAGTTAGCAGTGACAATAATAATAATACACCTCCGCCCCCCCAATTCCAACTCATAAACTCCACTGGGTTTCCAAGCCAGTAAATCTTTATGGTAGATTGCCTTGTCTTCCTTCCACGGAGCGGCTGGTGGGTTTGAACCACCAGCTGTCTGGTTAGCAGTCAAATGCCTCAGGTACTGCACCACCAGAGCTCTTAGACAATAATAATAGGATGAATTAAATACTATGTGTAAGAAAAATATAATATTTACAATGAAATAGACATTATAAGGACACTGATACATTTTTAAACAGCTGTTTATACTCTTCTTAATTCTTTATTGAATATTTAAATTTTGTAGGTTATCTTTAATATACTTCTGTTGTTGTCAGTTGCTGTCAAGTCAGTTCTGACTCATGGGAACCTCATGTTTGCAGAGAAGAATTTCTCCCTAGGTCCATGAAGGCTATGACCTTTCAGAAGCAGATTGCCAGGCCTGTATTCTAAAGTACCTCAGGGTAGGTTCAAATGGTCATTCTTTTAGCCAGTAGTTGAGCACACCATCCAGGCACTCCATATTGTATTATTATAAAGACACATAAATATAAGACTTTATAAAGACACATCAATGTAAGGAGAGCATAACTACAACTGAACTAATTAAACAGATCACTCATATGTAATAAAAAAGAAACATGACATGTTTCTGTCCTGAGAAATAAAACATTTTGACTCTATTTCTTTTTCCAATAATACTTCTTTGAACTGACTAGAGCATTAAGATAGTCTTCTTTTATGTAATGGCAAAACTAAATATAATCAAACCTGAAATTCATTTTGACTTGCAGCTCTGCTATTATTAAGTCCACATTACACTGATTCTTGGTGACAATCCAATGTGATGACATTTAGTTAAATTTTCTCTCAACAGAAGTGTTTGAGCATAGAATATACAGGATTTTACTTACTACCAACAGCAGGTATTTAGATGTAGAAGTTAGTTTCTAGCCCTATAAAAACATCCATCTACCTTAAATCTAAATGCTTTTTTGGTATTCCAGCTGTTCATCAATTATGTCTTCTGAAGTTATAAATACATTATCAAGGGTACTCATGTCTAAAATGTCCATCATTTTGAAACACTCTGAAGCACATCAGATATCAAAAGTTAAACCTTTCTTTCTCAGAGAAGTGATTTTAAAGCTTCACGTAATTTGAATTTATGAGGTAAAAAATGGATTTCAAACAAGTTGGTTTTAGTAAAGAAAAAGGTATGTATGTATATATCTACATAATGCAGGAGAACGTGCAGTGTCTTGTGGTAGCCATGTCCTTTTTAATCACTATATGATATGGAAAACATGGAAAAGCCATTTCAATTATATATATATATATATTTGAGGGAAAAAAAAAAAAGCCAAAAGCTTTGACACAGTAAGACACTTTAAATAGAATTAAAGTAAAATTGTCAAAGGATATGACAAGAAATTGAGGAAGAAATACAAATGAACAATAAACATGAAAAGACACCAGTAATCAAAGAAACCAGTTAACATACTTTTTTTAAGCATTAATTTTTTAAAAAAGTAAGTATTTGCCAGTTTTAGAAACAGTATAGGGAGTTATGCTCTCTGAAACACTATTGGTATGTATGTATAACTTCATTACAAAGTAAGCATTAAAATGCTGAACAAACAAACAAAAATCCAGTTCACAGTCAACCTAATAACAAAATATAGATTAGAGCAATTATGCCCAATAGTCAAAACTTTAAAATCTTTTTTTTGAATCCACTTCTAACCTTTAAAATAATTAACCAACCTGAGCCACTTTAATTGAATTCTGGGTAGAGCCACCAGCATGATATTCAACATTGAATTTTTTTACAAGTTCATCAAACCTATAAGGAAATCACAGCAGAAAAAAAGCATGTTAGAATCTGTGAGGTGTCACAATATAAATCCAGATTAGAAGTACATTAAAACACTTACTAGTAGATTGTTTTAGATTAGTTATGTTGAATTAAGTGAATTAAAATACTGTATGAGAAACAAGTTTGCTAAATTTCAATACTTAAATTTTTCCATAAATGTATACCTATAACAATTCCAAATATATATGCTGTCCATAATTAACCATAAAATAAACAGAAGGTAAAAATAAAAATTCGTATATTATCATTCACAAGTAATACATACTTTCTGATATTAAGTGTTTTTCTTTAGAATCCCTACAAATGTATATTTTAATATATTTAAAGTAACTTTAGACACTGTAAAGACTCATGGTTCATAATTTAAAGACAAGGCAAACTACATTGGGCTGTGCTTCTAGGCAACTTGCTTATTTTCTTTGTGACACAATTTATCTTCCAAATAAAAGCTCAGAAAGTAGTGATCTAAACCACTGATACGTCATTATTTTTTGGCATCTGATAAAAACTATAGAACTACTCTCCAGGAAAATGCATATATTCAATACACATGAAAATTTACCTATGAGAATATTCATGTATACTTCCTCCACACACATACACCCAGCCAGTGTATTTGTGTGGAGGAAGTATACACTTATTCAAATAATTCTCAAATTAGATGATATTAATCTGGATCACAATACAACATTATACACTACATGTCTCTAACATGTTAGATGTTGTGGAAGTCATCAGGTGGTATAGGTAACATAATTTCAAAATATTTACAAAGTTTTTTTTTTTTTTTTTAAATTAGG